GAAAATGATCAGAAACAGAGTCAGACTCTCCGATTAACGTGGTGGAAGAAGGGCACCATGACACCCTGCAGCTCAGTTACAGAGTACCGAGGAGACCCGTGGGTGCCGGGTTCTGATCATTCTCTCCACGGAGCCGAAAACACCCGATGTGAACTTCTCAATAATTTAAAGTCATCATTCTGACCTGGGCTGTGTCTTTAGGACAGAGCTTTGACTGAGAAAACTAAAACGCAGAGAAAGATTGAAGGTACAGTCCAGATCCAGGACACCATGATAAGATATTTGGAATTATAACACCATTAATTTCCATTTAGATTAAAAACTCAGAATTAAACAAAAGAGTAAACTTTTCTTTCCAAAAAACACGACACTCCAAATAAGAGTTTGAGCTGAAATTATCAGCAACTCCTTATTATAACCAATTTAAATCTGTTTTAAAATGCACATGCTGTATTTTCCGCCATAAATATGTTGCTTCGCCTTATAAGTCGTATTTATTATGTGTCACGTTTGTTACGCGTCACCACAGACAACCTGGAAACGTGAGCCGGCGTTGTGCCAAAAATCGATTGGTTGCCAAAAGGCGGCCACGAGAGCGTGCACGGGAGGACTTTAACAAGATTAACACTTAAAAACAATTATTTTTTTGCTCAAAATTATAGCAAAGGTGTGTCACAGTTTAACTTTTCCTTAATAAATGCACTTTGACGATCAAATCGGCTGCATTTCAAAAGCCGATACGCAGAAGTAGGCGCGTACACGGGAGGACTCGCTGTGCATTTCTTCAAAATTTAACACAATAACTACTTTAAAACAATTGTTTGTTTGCTCGACTTTACAGTAAAGGTGTGTCTCAGTTGAACTGTTACTTAATAAAAGGACTTTAACGGTCAAATTAGCCTCATTTCGCCGGGGCGGTGCAGCAAAATGCAGCTGATTTGGCGGTTGCTCCAGGTGAGCTGGACGAAGGTGGCAGACTATGGCAAGCCGACTGTGTCATTAAAAGCCACTTTTACCCATTACATGACACAACAGCATACCATACTGCTCGAGCGCCATCTAGCGGCTGAAAATGGTAGTGTTCAATATTTTCAGTCAGAATGAATAAAAACGGTCATACGGTCAACATTGGTTTATAAATATGGGGGGAAATCCATAAATAAGTCGCTTAGGCGTATAAGCCGCAGGGCATGCAAATTATACACACACAAAAAAAAACTGTGACTTATAGGGCAAAAAAAAATGTATATAAAATGCTTTAGCAGCTGTTGTGAGAGTCTGATGGCTGATTGTGAAAAATTAGTCTCTGAAACTGCAGGTGTAAACATACTGACCGGAGGAAATAAATCAGCGTTATTTAAATGTACTTTTTGTAGGATCCCACAGGAGATGAAGGAGCGAACATTTCATTTATTGGCATTTTTTTTCTCTCATTCCATTAAAATATAAGCAGAAGGGGAGGAGAGAGCTGAGAAAAGGGGAGCTTGGAAATTACACGGCACATCTATCACTGTCGCCGTTCAAAGTTAAAGCTCGAGTGGAAATCAGAGTTTGGCTTGCTTAAGACTTCAAGGACACGAAAACATTTCCTACAGGCTGCGGAGGTTTTATTACGTAAAGAAGTTAGAAAAAAATCAAATGTTGAAGTTTAATATTCAGGTCTGAGGAATCTCAAACGCTGGTTCTCTCTGTGTTCCTCTGCTCTAAGCTGTTCTCCAACATGATTATAGTTTCCTCACAACTTACATTACAACACTACCTGGCACCATGAAAGATGGGCCATCATGTAGCTGTCTCTGTGTGTGTTAGCTTGTTAGCAAAATAACTGGATGAATTTCAATGAAACTATAAAAAAAGAAAACTGGATGTAATTCTAGAAGTCTCGATTTAAGATGGCCACTACATCCAATAAACATCAGCCAAAATATAAATGACTAACTATACTGATCAGTTTTACAGATTTTGAGCTTAATTTTAGTGTGGTAGTAGCTGATCGTCATCCCCAACACATACTCTGACCACTCTTTATTTCAAACTTTGGCATCCAAGAAATAAGGAGATCAATAGCTAATTTAATTGATTTGTCTCACCCACTTCATGACAATCAGGCAGTTTAAGCTTTTATTATTTATATAAGATTAAATTTTTGGGTCAAGAGCATTAAAGGTTACGAGCAACATTTTTTTTTTTTTTTGAGTATACAGTAGTTCCTCGCTGTTTTTCAAAGTAAGATTGAACATGGCACACAATTGGCTGATTGATGGATGAGCCACGCATGGATTTTAAAAAAATTTAAATAAATTATTTTAAATTATTTAGCACCTGCGTGCAGCCCACAGGTGCAGAAGCTTCCTCCTGCAGCATGTCGCTCTCCGCTCTGCAGCGGAGGAGTGGGCGTGGCCAAGAGCGCTGGCAGGGAGCTGAAATCATGACATTTTGTGCTCTTTTAGAGCATTTAGAGTTTAGAAACATTGTTTAGAATACAGCAAGAGTGTGGGAAGAGTTGAAAATGTCTTTTTATATTTATATATATATATATATATATATATATATATATAAATACTAAAATAAACTACTACTTAGTACTTGTAATACTATTCCTACTTCGCAGTTTTTCACTTACCGCAGGGGGCTGAGAATGGAAACCCCTGCAATAAACGAGGGACTACAGTATATAGTATTTTGTTAGAGGAGTCTTGAGTATAAACAAATCAAAGTTCACCAAGTTCATCACTTCACCACTGGCTCTTGTCAAGGGCGGATGCATTTCCCCTCCTCTCCCTCCTCCGCTTTGCTTTTGGTCTGTCCTGTTGTGAAACTGCTTCAGAGCCTCTCTCTACATATCTTCTGAACCGTAATATTTGCTTTGGATCTGGTCAGCTGGTCTCTCTACACAAATGATAAAATTTTCTCGACGAGAAGACAAGCTTCAGGTGAGCTGACTTTCCCTGATATGCACACAACTGGATATGTCACTGATTCCTGGGGCGAGTGGAAAGTGATGTGTCTATCTCTGCTGTCCATTGAGGATGTTGACGATGCATATATAATTGGATTTATCATTGATCAACAAACAAGGAAGTCATCGTAAGCAAATTTGGCCCTGGTCAGGCTGCCCGCCTTATGTGAAGGTTTGCTCCGTGCCTCGAGCACCCACACTCAATTGCTTTGCGAACTAAACCGTAAATTGGATGTGATTTGTGAGAACTGCAGGCCACTTGCGGCCCCTAGGATTTGCTGGCAGGATGGATCAGATCTCGGGGAATACTCTCAGGCACAGATCAGCAGTGTATCTACTTAATTTAGATGTTTAAGGATCTCCGTGAGTACCAGCAAAGACTCAAGGCAGACATAAATCAGTAAAGTTTTGCCTGTTTCCAGAACAAATGTTCTTTATCTGAATTCAGCTCCCCGGTAGGAATGTGCGATATGGCATAAAATTCATATCACGATATGTATTGTGAAGGGTGGTGATAACGATATATATCGCAATATGTTTTGGGTATAAAACTTAATAGGAATTTTAAAAAGCATAGGGTGTCCTTTTGCCATCATATATTTTGAATTTAAAAAATTCCACTACTAGGTCCAGAGAGTTTTTAAATAATAAACAAATCAAGTATTAGGCTTCTTGCTTGTAGTGCAAAACAGTGCAAAAGATCAAATGTAGTTTTATGTTTTAAACAAAAGAATATGTTGTTAACTTAACAGTTTCCAGTCTTCTCACTTGAGAAATGAACAACAGAGCAGCTACTGAAAACACTTCACCCTCCAACCCTCTAGTGGGCGACACCTTCAGCTTTAAAGGAGAGCTGACACAAAATGAGTCTGTGACTTTGACCAGAGGGTCTCGCAGTAAAATCACACAACACAGCGTTATTTTCACAGATCAAAGAGCAGGTTTCTCTAAAGATGACCAACGCTTTAACTTTCGACGGGGGAAAAAAAAAACTTTTGACGGAACACAGCGTTTTGCGCATGCGTCCGAATACGGCAACACTACGGCAAGCCGGCTGTAGCTAGCTTGTAGCTTTGCTACTTAGCTCTCAAAGAAAAGACTTTAACGCCACTTGCACAGTTTTCAACTCAAAAAAAGTAACGATTAAATCTGACAGCTCTGATTTTACACTTGAACACCACTTACGCACAGTTTTCAACTAAAAAAGTAACGATTAAACTGAAAACTGATTTTACATCAGACACAGCATTACTACGGTTAGCTGGTAGAAGACAGATCTACATTGTAGGCTAAATTTATATTGTTTCTACCGTGTACCGTTTATATCGCGCATTCCTACTCCCTGGCTGACCTTGACAGGTCAATTTGCCTGGAGGCCCTGTAAATCTCGATGCTCTGCCCTCTCCCCTCTCCCAACGAGGAAGTCTGCGGACCTATTAGAGGGACCCGGCTGAATAAAAAATACGTCATTTCAGGATTCTTGGATTCTCTCTGGCTGTCCCAGGTCGGCCTTGACACCCTCGAGCGTGTTTACGGATCTCACCAGAAGAAACTGACTGATTATACCATTCTTATCAGACTCCTACAGTGCCTCTGGAGTGTCCTTGGACACGCTCACCGCCTTTGTCGTCTCCCCTGCGGAATGTCTACATCACTATGTGCTTATGTGCGGGTGTTTTTTTCAATTTAAGGATATCTTTTCTCGGCCAAGGAATGAGTCGTAGGATTTTTTTTTTGCCTCCAAAGCCTATGCATGTTGTCACTAAGTTTAGAATAAACTTCATGGTGTTTTCTAACCACATGCTTAGGTTTAACATTAACCAAAATGAACCACAACAATAAGGCAATTTAAACTGTTTCAATGACAAATCCATTCATCATTTACATGATTGCGCTGCTTAACTTGATGTCCAGCATATTAATAGTTAGTTAGTTCATCGCTGTCTGGCCTTTGTCAGCAGTCGTTAAATGTGTGCTGAGGTCATGGATGGAGATTTTATTTATTAGTAATAGGAACAAGTTAACAGTTTGGGGAACTTACCAGAAATATTCTGTAAGCATTGTTCCTGGTGACGGAGCCCCAGCACTGATCTGTATCGTTGTATTTCACACTTCCAGCACTGCAGGAGTGATTTCCACTGCAAGAAACAAAACAGAACGCTTGGTTTAACCTCAGCCTTGTCAGAAGACGGATAAACACAAAAATATTATTTTAAAAATGAACGTATGCGTTTTAGTTTCCAAGAATTACCATAAACAAATAAAAGAAAACCACTTTAACTGTTTAGAGTAGATTAGTCATTGTTTCATGACAGCACAAGTTTATTAGTATGAAGTCTGTATTTTGTGGCTCCAGGTGAAATAAAAGCAGCTTTGACATCTCGGTTAAATTTTAGTTATTCTTGCTGGAAGGTCAGTAAAGCTGACAGAACTGTGGAGAAGAGCTTGATGCAGCAAGACAGCATGAGCGTCCTCATTTAGAACATGATTGTGCTGCTTAGTTTGATGGTGGACTGTATTTTCTACCCATACCACTTTGGAGATGCATAATCATGAAAATTTATAGCTATCATAATATGTGTACATGATATCAATATTGCAAAGTATTCCAAAAAAAACAAAGGCAAAAATAGAGATTTGGTAGATGAGATGGAGCACTGTTCCTCTAAATGCCCTCAGCCGGCACATGGAGAGGGTTGTGGACGTTGGAACATGTGGGTTTATCACAACAAACATTACCGTTGCAATATTCAACATTAATATTTAAATCACATATTTTCCACGACCACCCAGCATTTTGCAAACCCACAATGTGACCCTTATGAAACCCCTTCATATGCGGGTCGTGCAGCTTAAAGGCATCTTCTTTCTGCTCACTGTTCTAAATGACTGTCATACATGTTGGTATCTGCCTGATAACACCATCCATCTACTAGTGATCGTGACAGGAACTGATTTTTCATCTGAATTCTAGTTAAAATAGGCAAATTTAAAACAAATGAATGTGATTGTCACCATCATTGTTGGGTACTTTTTGTACACCAGCACCTAGTGGTGAAGCCATGTTGTTTTCTAATAGTGCTTTTACAGTTGAGGTGCTTTTTTTATAATTAAATACCCAGCAAAAAAATAAAAAAAAATACAAATTCAAAGAGTGTTTTTGCTTGAAGTGCACATAATAACTTGTGATGCTGGACTCTCTGGTACTTGTTCTAAACATGCTAGACCTTTGCAATTAAATCATGACGTAGCCATCGCTAGTCTGAATGTAGAATAAATTACTTTCAAATCAAATCTTTCTTTCTGGGTGCTTATCTTTTTCTTCTTCTTCAGTGAGTCTACAAATATATAGCAATGGTTGGGGTTGTTACTGAAGAAACTAATCAATAAGAACATTAATTAAAAAGCAGTCAAAGTGAACAGAACAAGTAATTTTTTATTAAATCTTAATGGGTTTTTTTTTTCCTGAAACTAATAAAAAATACAAATGTCAAAAACTTCCAACGGCCACATAAATAAATAAAAATGAAACAAGAAATAAAAGCACCACCGGGGTTTAAGACTACTGTCATGTAGACTGTATGAGCCCATGACTAAATAAAATATCTTATTTTCAGACGGGTAATAAAAACCTTTCTGGAAGCAAGTCAGCGTGCCTCAGATGGAGGAGCAGCTGAGAGAGGTGAGCGGGCCTGAAGGTCTCCATCAGCAAACTTTTATTGTCTTAATCTACGAGTTCAGCGGGCCACAGAAGGATCAGACCGTGAGGCCAGCAGGGAGACTTACTAAAACGCTCTTCAAGGACAGAGAAAGGATAAAAACAAGCCTTAAATTTCTTACAAAAAAAAGCTCTAATTTGTCTCACCAGGTCACTTCCATGAGTGAAATGGGCACAGCCGCGGCGTAGATGGCCAGATCTCCATAAAGATAGATGATGATGCAGATGTAGAACATGTTGACTCCAACTGAAAGACAAAAAGAATTAAGAGGTGAAGGATTCAGGGCTGCATGATGAGCAGATTTACAAAGTAACGTGGGATCAATAGGTGACAAACAAACACATTTGTCATTTTTAGCAGCCGTCCAAACGCTTCATCATGATATATCGCTGATGGAGCAAACATCTATATTAAAATTACACCCTCGTTTGCACACCTCTCATTACACCCCTCCATCAGTTTTCCAGGCCACAGGCACATGTTTTAATTAATGACGAGTATTAACGGCATTAATTATTAAGCTGATCACTCCATGAGGGAAAATGTCCATCAGCCTCGACTCTGTGCAGGGTTCGGACCATCTGCCCTCCTGTTTGCATCCAAACACCTGACTGATAGGACCGAATCAGATTTCACCTGCAGACACATCAGCGCAGCGTGCCACACATCCATCATCCTGCTGGTTTCTCAAACGGGGGCTCTACCACCTCACCGAGCCCCTCAGCTAATTCATTACTGCCAAGGAAATTAGAGGGTAAAGTCCATTAAAAAGAAATAAACGCCGACAGATTTACAGCTTCTCCAGCCGCACAGATTCTTTATCAAATCAAGGACTAAAGGGGCCTATTAGGAGTAACATTACGCTGTGATAGAAGCAAAAACAAGAGCAGAACCAAACAACTATTTATATCCAGTTTTAGAATCAGAGCCAACAAAACATGTCTCAGTGTTTCATTAAATCAGTTTTTGGTTCATGAACTGTCAGATTACAGCCATCTAATGAGGGCAGATTGCTCATTTTATTCAACCACTGATCCAAAACCACAAGATAATTAGATTTCAACTTAATAAATTTCAATCTGCTTTAGTTTTATTCTTCAGAATTGATATAAAGTACAACATCCTCAGTTCATTTTTGTGCAACTGCTTTGTGTTTCGACAGCTATTTGAGATTTAAGGATATTGCTCAAAGTAAAGATTTAAGTTATGTTATGTTTATGTTGTTTATTTGTGTCATATGCAGATTAACGGAAGGTCAACAGTGAAGCGATTCGACTCGTTAAGAAATCATGAAAAACTAAAGCATGCAATAAAAGTACAAAATAAAGTACCAATGAGTGAAAAGGAAATATAATATTTGCAAGGACCAAAAAATATATAGTAAACAACAACATGGTAGAATATAATGGTGCAAGTAGGATGAATTAGTATAAATAAGTTAATTAAGTTATTAGTGATGTATCCTTATCCTCATAATAATGTAAAGTGCAAATGTTTGTATCCATGTTTTGTTTATTGTTTTTAATCAAGGCTTTGTGTTACGACGGAGCTTTAGGGCCACGCTATGAAAAAAATAATAATTTAAAGCTATAAAATTACGAGAATGAAGTAAAATAAAATCTTAATATTGCGCAAATAAAGTTGTTAAAGACTTTTTTTGCAGCTCTCGTTTATTTTATTTTCCACGAGTCAGATCCACGACGTGAACTGTCAATCAATCCAGTAGGCGTGTCAGCAAACGACCAATCCGAAGCTAAACGCTCCTTACCTGCAGAGCTGCTGCAGCCCATCAGAGCTACCACCTGACTGTAAGCAGGTTCAAAGTCATGATACTGATAATAATCTAATGCTTATGAGCTAACAGATTAACTATCTCCTTATTTATAAAACCAATACCAAAGTATAATTTAACAAGATGCTCAACATTCTTCATTTTACTACAGTTAAAATGTGGTAAACCTGCTTTATCGTGTCGAAGTTCGGATAATATTATGACTTTATTCTGGTAATATTATGCGTTTTTATTCTCATAATATTATGAGTTTATTCTCGTAATTTTACGACTATAAAAATATAATAAATGGTCTCAGCAACAAAACCTTCTAATAAAAGTGTTGCAGGTTATTTTGCAGAGCTATTTGAACCCACCATAACTGCTGCATGAACTTAGTCGAGACATATTTTTATTTCACAGAACGGTGCAAAATGTACTGTCCCCTGCAGCCCGGCGAGAGAGCTGCACGACCAGCAGGCGTCACAACACTGGAACCAATATCTGCCAATTATCCAGAGCCACAGACAAAATCGCTACGAAATAAGTCTTCATTTAGCAGCTCAGCTTTTTCATGTAGCTGTGAGAAGCATTACTATCCATCTCTGACCAGCCTGACAGCAGACATGACAGCCTGTCTGTAAAAAGCTGCGGAGGACAAAAATTAATAAATAACGGAGACTACACTTAGTTAACTTACAGGAAGCACAGGGGAGACGGGGCTTTTAGGGATTCAAAACTGTGAAAAAGACACAGAGTTTATGCCATGGAAATTATGCTTAAAATAAAAATAAATTAATAAAAACAAAAGCTACTCAAATTGTCTGTTGTTTTAAAATAAAGTGTTAAAGTCTCAGAATCGGCAGGAAAGTGGTTTTATATGTTGGCGTCTTTAATTTAAGTTTAAATAACAAATTTAGGTCCAGAACGACCACATAAAGAAATTACGGAGCAGATTTAAAAACCTGTTTCCTCTCGGGAATTTTTTGCAAAAAGAAGTCCGAGTGAACAAGAAAATTTCACAACAAAAATGATATTATCAAAGGCTTCTGTCATCTATGAGAAGATTGACAAGTCTCCTGCGCAGCAATGTGCACGTCTAACGCAGAAAAACTGAACAAATCTCAAATCTATCAATAGGCATAGACTACCACACCTTTAATAATGTAACCCATGTGTTCTTTATTGTTCACTTCAAAAGCCTGATTTAGTTTTAAATGGTAAATGGACTGTACTTCTATAGCTTAGTTCTAGCTAATCAAGAAGCTCAAAGCTCTTTACAACACAATCTGTGCCTCATTTACCTCCACACACATTCAGATATCACTCTACTGCATCTGTACAAAGATAATCGAACAAATCAATCTATAGAGACTAATCAGAGCTTTATCACATTCATACACCGATGGGACACACACGAGAGGCAGTGAGGGGTTCAGTGTTTTGCCCAGGGACACTTCAACATGTGACTGCTGGTGGAATCGAACCCCAACCGTCCCATTGGAGGACAACTGCTCTAACCACTCAGCCACAGCTTTTTAAGGTTTTTCATTAAACCAGTTTAAGTGGAGCAGTTCAAGGTTTTGTTCACGAGTGACGGAAGAATCGAGCGCGAGAACAACAGATGGATCGGTTCAGCTTCAGCAGTATTGTGGACTCTGTGCCGGTCCGTTGTGGTGACGAGAGGTGAAGCTCTCCGTTTACCGGTTAGTCTACGTTCCTACCCTCACCTATGATCAGGAACTCTGGACAGTGACCAAAATAACGAGATTGTGGACACAGGAGGTTGAAATGAGTTTCCTCTGCAGGGTAGCTGGACTCTCCCTTGGAGATAGGGTGAGAAGTTCAGTTATCTGGGAGAGACTTGGAGTAGAACCGCTGCTCCTCCACATCGAGAGGAACCAGCTGAGGTGGTTCAGACATCTGGTCAGGATGGACTTGGACACCTCCCTAGGGTGGTGATAAAGGTATGTCCAACTGGGAGGAGAACCTGGAGTAACTCTTTCTCTCAGCTGGTCTGGAAACACCTTGGAGTCCTCTCAGAAGAGCTGGAAGAAGTGGCTGTGGAGAGTGAGGTCTGAGCCTCCTGCCCAAGCTGCTGCCCCTAAGACCCGACTCCAGAAAAGAGGCAGATGATGGATGAAATTAAAGTGTTTATTTGGCCTTTGGCTGTTTTTCTTTCCACTCATTTCCAATCCAGTTAGTTGAAAACTTGACAAGCATCATTATGGTGTGTCGTGTCTGTGCTTAAAAAGTGTTCTCATAAAACCATCTACAGCAGAGGAAAGTATCTGAAAGGAGCTCAAGATAATGAGTTAATTCACAAGATTATAATTTCTAAAAAGAAAATGACTCGTAATTTGAATAATTATATTGTAAACACTCTATTTTCCCTCTAAAGTGTAGTTCTTTTAATTAAAAGAACGCCTCAAAATAAACTGTCCTCCCACAGAAAATCTCAGAAATAATAAAGAAAGCTTTTTTTTTTTTTTTATTTAAATATCTCCACAAGTCTCTCCCTGTCCTTATAATTAAACTGCTGATTGTTGGACCAACAAAGTGAATCTTTGATGAAGTGAAATCATGAATGTCTTCTGTTCAGATCTAGATTAGGAAGCCTGGGAGGCAACAGCAACATTACCAGTGTCTGAGGTTAGAAATGAGAAATGCCTCATCAATACTCAACTTGTGTGTGATGTGGATAATATTAGAATAAATCTGTGCTGTAGCAGAGTTCTGCTTTGACAGAAACAAGATGATTCTCAGTTTTAACTTGGTTTCGTTTTAGAAAACAAATGAACCCTTCATGAATCAAACTTTTTTTTTTTTTTCGGTAGCGCTCTTGGAATATTGATTTGTTTGGATGATGGCAGTCAGCCTTGATTTAGCATGCTCCAGAAATTAAAGTGCATCTTTCACCACGCTGACACAGAGAACTATTGTTGCAGCGGTTTAGAGAAAATGATTGTGACAAACACTGAGGTAAACATGACCGTTTATCTTCCAAACGACTACAATTTTCATCTTGGCAGACGTTTTTTTTTTTAAGTCACTTAAGTATAGAAATGGATAGGTTCACGGTCGGCTCTAATTAAAGTCAGACGCTTGTGTTGCAACAAAGTTAATTAGTATTCGTGGCCATGGTCCTGTTTTCACCAGTGGAACAAAAACCATCCTGATGTTTGCACAGTTGCTGTGTGCAAAACATTACATTGCAAAACTAAGAAAAGCTGAGACAAGATGCTGATGCTAGGACAGCACCGTGACTTTAGCCAAAGTCAGCTTTTAATCAACCTTCAAGTCATCTGTGTGAAGGTTACAGCAACACTTTCCACGGTGGTGCAGATAAACCTGCCTCCATCAACATTCCTGTCAGTGGCTGCAGGTCAGGCTGATACGATATCCATGGACTTTTTCCAAGCCTGCCTCAACCTCACCACCACCGTCACGTCAATTTAATCGTAAGAGGAAGTCAGATGTCCTCTAACTCTTCTTAAGAAGAGTTTATTATCTGCAGTTTATCATCTTAGCAGAATGAGGAGCTGCTGGTACACGACTTTAATGCGTGTAAATCTAGCACAGGAGCATGAACGTGCTTGCATTCATTCTGGTTAATTACATTTATTCATGTGCAAAAATCACATTAAGAAGATGAAACAGTTCAGACTCTGTATCACGATGAATGAAACACTGGACTCGGACGATATTTTGACACAACGGCAGCAGGGGGGTTATCCTTACATAGATTTAACGTTACTATAGACTAATAAATAGGTATCACTTTGCATCATCAGGTGAAAGGATTGTACCGATTTACAGGAATAAAAGCTGAAGTTTTTAACAAAAGTGTTTGGATATTTTGATGTAGGGTTCTGTGGAGTTGTTATCAGTAACCAATGTTTTACCTGCAGTAGAAATTATTAAAAAATGACATCAGTTTGGAAAATGAGACAGAAGTTGTCCTGAGAAGGTTAAGATCCAAACAAATGTCAGGGCTGAAAGAGCGAGCGGCTGAGGTGAGCTTCGTCTGTAGGTGGCCGGGCTCAGCTGTAAACGGGGTGAGGAGCTCCACCATCTGGGAGGAGCTCCGATCAGAGTCGCTGCTCTTCCACATTAAAGATCAGCCGAGGTGGTTCAGACATCTGGATGGGGACTCCTGAACACCTCCCAGAACTGTCCTACAGGGACCTTGTCCTGGCCTTGGAACACCTTGGGATCCCCATGAAGGACCTGGAGATCATTACTGTGGAAAGGGGGGTCTTGGTTTCCCTCCTAAACCTGTTCTCTCTGCACCCCGACTACATTTAGGCCACAAAAATTTGATTGCTAATTTGCTTTAAAAAAAAACCTGAAATCTTCTCAGCCCAGCTCAGACTAGCCATTAACTTGTCTCCTCTGAGAACCTTTGCCTGATATTCCAAAACAAAGCTGATTCAGAGATTTTATTGCAAATAAAATTCTGATTTAAAAAATCCAGAGAGCCCCACTTTAAAATTACCGTATTGGTAAACAGTGACGATGTGATATATTTATTCAGTGGTAAAAGAAGCGTATCATACCACATCTATGTGTTTCTCTTTATAATTTTACATGTGATGCCTGGAGTTGATTTAAATTGAATATTTACTTCTAATAAAGTACAGCATGAACATTATCTACATCTTTAAAATACATCACAGAGTACAGGAGCTAATGATTGAGTTCTCCTGTGTGGGTAGACCCAGAGGTCAATGCAGCAGAATCCTCATTAGTTGGCTCAAATGAAGAAAACTAACAATCAGAGCATTTAATAGTAAATGAGACCCAAATAAATGTGTTTTTGCTTGTAAATTGACTTAAACCAGGTAGTTTTATCATATAGGTCCATTAAATTTTAAATACCTTTTCATTTTGTTTAATGTAAATGTGTGTTCTAAACATTATAGAACTGATTATCTGTAAAACTAAACTACTGTATGGGAAATAAAACCCAACCTTGTTTGATGAGCGTTGTTAAAATTACTCATTTGTATCCAAATAATAAAATCATGATACATCAGCTGGAATGTGATCTGCTCGGTGCTGTTGGGACCAACACAAGCAAAGCTGCGATTCTCTTCTCCACGCTGCTCGTTCAGCAAGCGCTGGGACTCGTGCCCGTTTAATTCTTCTCTTATTAGAGTCCCCGGCAGCTTCCTCCCCCACATGAGGGGGGAGAGAGGAAGGGAGAAAAATCATTTCCTTATTACCAATCGATACCCCACGTGTTACCTGCACGCAGCCGGTGGGGAAGATCGTCAGCCATGTTTTTTGTGTGTAGCGCCTAAACAGGCAATTGAGTCAGTGACAAGAGGCTGAATGGATGGCAGCACACTGCAGCTTTAACAGCATGAGCTGCATGACAGCATGCATGAGCCACAGTCACACGTGTGGGTGTGAACATGAGCTGGCGGGTGACTCCATGTGTGCCAAGTGCGCCACCTGCTGCTGAAACGCTGAAGGGCAGAGAGCATGTCGGCACAGATGACACCGTCACAGCTTGACCTTTGGTTGTTCTCTTATTCCTACAAAACCAAGGACTTTGCTGACTCCTAAGTCACATGCATGTGGATAAAGTTGGCTTAATGCAAGCAGACAGGGCAGGAGGAGGGAGGAGACTGCATGCTGACGCCAAGCATATATGAGGATGGTAAAGCTGCAGGGCTCGCTCTCTCTTCGGCTCAAGGTGATTCAGATTTCAGTTTACCATTACGAGTCAGCTCCGTTAGCTCCAGAATCATTCAGGTATTTGCCACATGTACAGGTAATACCCCCGGCTTGATGGGCTCTCAAACAGGTAATTATAACCAAAAGCAATTTATCCATATATAATTACATCCAATTAAACTGCCACTAGCCTTCCTGTGTAAATGAGGACTGTGCATAAAAAAAAAATCTTGGATGAATTATCCTGCTCAGCCGTGCGGCTCGTCCATAAATATTAGACATGGCTAATGACGGTGGCATCTGCAGGTGACTGAATATTAGGGAGCGAGTTGGGGCAAAAGGAGCATTACCTTTGTTGAAGAACATGGAGGCCATTTGGCCCATCTCGATCCGCTCCACAATGTCGAAATGATTGACGTGACCAGATCTCTCTGGGAAAAAAAATTAATCAGAAAACAAAACTGACGTCAAGTTCATCTCATTCCTGCACACAAATTATTTTACTTCAGAAGTCTTCTATGTGTAATTTTTGTTTATTCCCTTTTCAACTTATTCTGCATGCATTTTGAATTCCTCTGTATCGGGCGTTCAAATTCTTCCTGATTTGATGTGCAGCAGTAACATCAGCAGTTCTCTTTAAGATGAAAGGAGTTACTTTTGATTCCGACGTTAAGTTCAGTTCTTTTGTGCAACGACTCTGAAGAAAAATAGACTTAGTGCACAGATCCCTCCAGAAACTACAAGAATGGCACCTGTTTTACTTTTTAAATGTTTTTGTACAGCCCTGAGATGAATTTGTTGTCTATTAGTACAGAAGTCCCTCGCAACATCGCGGCTTGTTTTTTGGGCTCGCTCTATCACCGTTTTTCAAAATAAGATTGGCTGACTGATAGATGAGCTGCACGATCCGCATGAAATTTTTATTTTAAATAAATTATTTTAAATTATTTAGCACCTCGTGCACCTTTGTGCAGCTCTTAACGCGGGATAAACTTCCTGCTGCAGCTGATCAACTGTTCTCCGTACAGAGCGGAGAAGTGGGCGTGGCCAAGGATGCTTGCAGGCTGAGAGCAGCGGAGGCAGAGAAATCATGACATTCTGTGCTCTTTTACAGTGTTTAGAGTTTAGAAACATTGTTTAGAATATTGCAAGAGTGTGGGAAGGGTTTAAACCACTTTAATATATACAGTGCCTTGTGAAAGTATTCGATCCCCTTGAACTTTTCAACCTTTTGCTACATTTCAGGCTTCAAACATAAAGATATAAAATTTAAATTTTTTGTGAAGAATCAACATCAAGTGGGACACAATCGTGAAGTGGAATGAAATTTATTGGATCTGTCAAACTTTTTTAACAAATAAAAAACTGAAAAGTGGGGCGTGCAATATTATTCGGCCCCCTTGCATTAATACTTTGTAGCGCCGCCTTTTGCTGCAGTTCCAGCTGCAAGTCTCTTGGGGTTTGTCTCTGTCAGTTTTGCACATGGACAGACTGAAGTTCTTGCCCATTCTTTCTTGCAAAACTGCTCGAGCTCAGTGAGGTTGGATGGAGAGCGTTTGTGAACAGCAGTCTTCAGCTCTTTCCACAGATTCTCGATTGGATTCAGGTCTGGACTTTGACTTGGTCATTCCAACTCCTGGATACGTTTATTTGTGAACCATTCCATTGTAGATGTGTCTTTATGTTTTAGATCATTGTCTTGTTGGAAGATAAATCTCCGTCCCAGTCTCAGGTCTCTTGCAGACTCAAACAGGTTTTCTTCCAGAATGGTCCTGTATTTGGCCCCATCCTTCTTCCCATAAATTCTGACCATCTTCCCTGTCCCTGCTGACGAAAAGCAGGCCCAAACCATGATGCTGCCACCACCATGTTTGACAGTGGGGATGGTGTGTTCAGGGTGATGAGCTGTGTTGCTTTTACACCAAACATATCGTTTTGCATTGTGGCCAAACAGATTGATTTTGGTTTCATGTGACCAGAGCACCTTCTTCCACATGTTTGGTGTCTCCCAGGTGCTTGTGGTAAACTTTAAACAACACTTTTTATGGATATCTTTGAGAAATGGCTTTCTTCTTGCCACTCTTCCATAAAGGCCAGATTTGTGCAGTGTACGACTGATTGTTGTCCTATGGACAGACTCTCCCACCTCAGCTGTAGATCTCTGCAGTTCATCCAGAGTGATCATGGGCCTCTTGGCTGCATCTCTGATCAGTCTTCTCCTTGTTCCAGATGAAAGTTTAGAGGGACGGCCGGGTCTTGGTAGATTTGCAGTGGTCTGATACTCCTTCCATTTCAATATGATTGCTTGCACAGTGCTCCTTGGGATGTTTAAAGCTTGGGACATCTTTTTGTATCCAAATCCGGCTTTAAACTTCTCCACAACAGTATCTCGGACCTGCCTGGTGTGTTCCTTGGTCTTCATGATGCTCTCTGCGCTTTGAACAGAACCCTGAGACTATCACAGAGCAGGTGCATTTATACAGAGACTTGATTACATACAGGTGGATTCTATTTATCATCATCAGTCATTTGGGACAACATTGGATCATTCATAGATCCTCACTGAACTTCTGGAGTGAGTTTGCTGCTCTGAAAGTAAAGGAGCCCAATAATATTGCACGCCCCACTTTTTAGTTTTTTATTTGTTAAAAAAGTTTGACACATCCAATAAATTTCATTCCACTCCACGATTGTGTCCCACTTGTTGTTGATTCTTCACAAAAATTTAAATTTTATATCTTTATGTTTGAAGCCTGAAATGTAGCAAAAGGTTGAAAAGTTCAAGGGGGCTGAATACTTTCGCAAGGCACTGTATATATCTTGTCTTATCTTATAAATACTAAAATAAACTACTTACTACTTGTACTACTATTCCTACTTTGCTGTTTTTCACTTATCGCGGGGTTGTACGGATCCCGAGGGACTACTGTACTTATAAAATACATTGAATTGAAATAAAATGTTTGTTTTGAACATCAGCTGAGGCTTCTGCAGGACATGTGTGTCGGTCATAAATTATTGATAACTACATGAAAAGGTAGCCTAAACAAATTATTTCATTACTGTATGTCTTGATTTAAACACAGAGGAGCAGCAAATAAAAGTGTAACAAGGCTGTTGACTTTAACACCACATAAAAAGTTTGGGTACAAAAGTCAAAAATCCTCGTCAGTTAAAACAAGTAGCAGCATTCATCCCTCTTACCTTTAAAATAATTATTATTAAAGAGATCAGCACTCACGGACAGACAAGATGGGTTTTGTTTCGGGTTCTGCTCGGCCTCGGCCCATGACATCATCGTCTGAATAGTCGGAGCTGGAGTCGCTGTTGTCAGTCTGTGGAGGATGAAACGATGGTTTGACGCTTTAGTTGCCGTTTTCCTAATCTCTCTACGTAAACAACGGTCAGTTTACAAGACATTAACTGTGTGTTTATTTGCTCTGTATTTAAACGCAGGGGAGGCAACATCTGGAAATTATAGCCAACAGCTGGGAGGCACTTTGGAGGACGGAGCCGCTTGCAATCCCCAACAATCACATCACCAACACGTCGCTTTTTGTAATTTCCCACAGTCCGTGCAGATTAATGTCAATTAAGTGTCAGTGGTGGTGAAATGCGTGAGCATCATCAGCTGAGTTAATGCAGGAGCGATGAAGAGTGACAGCCGGTAATGACTCCGCAACAAACAGGCAGCAAACAGAAGCAGGCCAGCAGAAAACAAGGCAAACAGCAACGAGAATCAGAACGCTGGTCACGCCCGCAGGCGCCGACACACGATCAAAGTCAAACTCAGGCTCGAAAAGGAGAAAAGTCAAACAAGTCTGCAGAAAGTAAGCAGAACTCTGCATCCTCAGTGTGCGTGTTAGAGGATTAAACATCATCGAACAGTTTAATATCTGCACCGTCAGAGTGTTGTAGCCAAAGTCTGAAGAGACTAACTATTGCAAGAAAATAAAGAGTGAAAACAGGAAATGAAGTTGACAAAATAGAGCTCAAACTCCAAACTTCAAAATAAAAGTTAAAGTAAATGTTTCTTCATGAGGCCAACTTGTCTGGTTTTTGCTCAACTCTCCTAAATAGGAACCATTTCAGGTCGGCCAAGAAAAAAACATGAACGTCATTCACTTTGGATTCACTTTGTAGAATTTCGAAAGAAAACAAACGCACATTTTCTGTAAACTTATCAAACTTGTGTCATACGACAACCTGTTTAACCATCGAGGTCTTTGAAACCTAAAATTGTGAAAACAACTCATGAGAATATAATAAGAAACAGATCAAAGAGTTTCTCATCTGAAAAGTACTTTATATTAATATATTTATATTGTGTTAATTCCAGCAAGACAAAAACATATTTAATAATAATAAATTTAAAAAAAAATCCCCTTCTTTCAGCTGCTCCCTTCATCAGGGGTCACCACAGCAAACTAAGTCAATTATTAATACAAATAATATATTTTTATAATATATACACGAATAATAATAAATAATAACAATAAATAAACACCTTTTCCAGAAGATTTCTTTGCAACCACAAATATTTCACATTGGAATCCATGGACTTACAGTGATTAAATAATTAATGGATAGTCTGGGTTTTGTAAAAAAAAAAAAATAATAATAATAATTATGAACAAAAAATATCTTACCTGTTATAGGTTGCTTTCTAAATCTCAAATTGGAGAAAATGAATTCAGTTCCAACTAAAATGTCTGAACATGGCTGAGACTAAAGTAGATTGCTGGCCTTTTAAAACAACTAAAGTAAAAACTTTCACAGCATTTATTTTAACGCCACTTTACAAACCTCAGTCTGTTTTCCATTAAATGGCTAATTCTGCAGAAATATTATGATAATCCTGCAGGAAGTACCTCAGGCTGCTCCAGAAGCATTACTGCCAACTGTTGTTATTTATCTATTTAAATAACCACATAATTGCATGTAAATAATGCTGTAATGTAGAAGTGATGGCAATGTAAAAATTTATAATTAGCTATCAGCAATTTGTACTATAAGGGCAGCAATCCACTGCGGTAGATGTCATCTCGTCATTTAAGTCGGAATTAAACTTTATTTGTCCTGAGATGTCAAAGAATTATCTACAACAGGTAAGATATTAAGTGTTTACACCCTTTCCACAGAACTCCGCTTCAATACATCTGAACGTTCAATTCAGGCACTCTTACTAAAATTCCAACAAAGCACAAACCTTATCTACAGGCGAACCTTTCATGAGCACATTATTTTGCCGCGTAGCCGTTTGACATTTAAATTAATACGACTTCATTCATCACTAAAGCATAATTTCGGTTCCACATCGTCTCCCACAAACATGCCTTATTGCTCATTTAAACCAGATTTAAACAAACAGCTTTTAATCTGTGTACAAGATTGTTCTCCAACTCGTGTTTGTGCTAAATAAAAAGGCATATACGGCACCTTCTCTGATGAAGCGTCAGCGAGTGTAAAAAGAGAAAATGTGTGGATGTTAATAGGCTTCAGTCAAGCAAAGAGAAATAAAAGGCATCCAGCAGTAAACATTTCCCGTCGTACTCCTCTCTTGTTTCCCATTATGTGGGAGGAAAACGCTGAGGAGTACAGCAGCCATGAATCAAGGCTGAGCGTTCGCGCCGGGCTATTGTCCACAGGATCATAACTCCTGGAATGGAAACCCAGGGGCATTAAGCAAGATGACTTCTGCACCGAGGGGGAAACAAAAAGCAAAGGCCGAGCCATTTGGGGAGCGCCAAGCCTTTTTCTTAGTCAAAGTAAAAAATGATTTAGGACTTGGCTATTTCCCCTGATAATTGAGTACAGTTCTACTCCGATGACTTCACCCAAATTGGGATTTTACAAACGGGAGGCGAGAGCCACTTCTAAATTGTGCTTGGATTGGACAATAAAATGCCATCAACCTCCAAAACACAAAAATTAAACCTCCGGTTAGAAGAAGGATTATTTTCAGGGTTTACAACTTAAATGCAGTCCAATCAATTAAATTTGACTGGAATAAAAATAAAAGCAGCAAGTATTTTACTGTAAAAGGCTAAACAAGAGACGTCCACAGGGAGACAGACGTCAGTGACTAGGATGACCAGAGTCAGCTTGTAGGTTTGCCAGTAGAAACTAAGGTTTAAATTATTTACTGAGGGTCTAATTAACTGTTTTAGCTGCTTATTCAAACATCACAGCAACAGTCAGGTGCTGTTTCATTACTACAAAGTAGTGAATGTTTTAAAGATGTACAAAAAAAAGTTACCTTTGCTTTCAGCTGTCTTAGTATTTCACAAAAAGACCTGCTGGCACATAACCATAACTACAATATAAGTGCACACTAATTACAGGCTAATTACCGGTAAGTTTAAAATCAAAATGTATTTATTTTTTTCTTGTTATTACAATCTTTAAAAAAAAATCATGTAATAACTCAAATGTAATTCAAGCCCTATCGACACAGGATTGGCATTTTGTAAATAAGTATATAAGTACAAACCGGATCCCAAAAAAGTTGGGACACTAAACAAATTGTGAATAAAAACTAAATGCAATGATGTGGAGGTGCCAACATCTAATATTTTATTCAGAATAGAACACAAATCACAGATCCAAAGTTTAAACTGAGAGAATGTATCATTTTAAGGGAAAAATCTGTTGTTTCCAAATTTCATGGCGTCAACAAATCCCAAAAAGTTGGGACAAGTCCATTTTTACCACTGTGGGGCATCCCCTCTTCTTCCAACACTCAACAGACGTCTGGGGACAGAGGAGACCAGTTTCTCAAGTTTAGAAATAGGAATGCTCTCCCATTCAAGTCTAATACAGGCCTCTAACTGTTCAATCGTCTTGGGCCTTCTTTGTCGCACTTCCTCTTTATGATGCGCCAAATGTTCTCTATAGGTGAAAGATCTGGACTGCAGGCTGGCCATTTCAGTACTCGGATCCTTCTCATAAGTAGCCATGATGTTGTGATTGCTGCAGAATGTGGTCTGGCATTATCGTGTTGAAAAGTGCAGGGTCTTCCCTGAAAGAGATGACGTCTAGATGGGAGCATATGTTGTTCTAGAACCTGAACATAGTTCTCTGCATTAATGGTGCCTTTCCAGACATGCAAGCTGCCCATGCCACAAGTGCTCATGCAACTCCATACCATCAGTGATGCAGGCTTCTGAATGGAGCGTTGATAACAACTTGGGCTATCCTTGTCCTCTCTGGTCTGGATGACATGGCGTCCCAGTGTTCCATAAAGAACTTCAAATCGTGACTCATCTGAACACAGAACAGTCTTCCATTTTGCCACACTCCATTTTAAATGACCCATGGCCCAGTGCAAACGTCTGAGCTTGTGGAGCTTGCTTAGAAATGGCTTCCTCTTTGCACTGTAGAGTTTCAGCTGGCAACGGCGGACGGCACGGTGGATTGTGTTCACTGACAATGCTTTCTGGAAGTATTCCTGAGCCCATTCTGTTATTTCCTTGACAGTGGTATTCCTGTTTGAGGTGCAGTGACGTTTAAGGGCCCGGAGATCACGAGCATCCAGTAGAGTTTTACAGCCTTGACCCTTACGCACAGTGATTGTTCCAGATTTTCTGAATCTTTTGATGATGTTATGCACGGTTGATGATGATAACTTAAAAGTCTTTGCTATTTTATGCTGGGTAACACCATTCTGGTATTGCTGCACTATCTTTCTGTGCAACAATAGTGGAATTGGTGATCCTCTTACCATCTTGGCTTCTGAGAGACACTGACACTCTGAGAAGCTCTTTTTATACCCAATCATGTTGTCAATTGACCTAATTAGTGTTAATTGGTGTTCCAGCTTTTCGTTATTTGCTCAATTTCCTTTTTCCAGCCACTTATTGCTACTTGTCCCAACTTTTTTGGGATTTGTTGACACTGTGAAATTTTGAATCAACATATTTTTCCTTTAAACTGTTACATTTACTCAGATTAAACTTTTGATCTGTCATCTATGTTATATTAAGAATAAAATATCGACATTTGCCATCTCCACATCATTGCATTCAGTCTTTATTCACAATATGTTTAGTGTCCCAACTTTTTTGGAATCCGGTTTGTAGTTTCCCGTTTCCGTTAGGGTGAAAACATCTCAAGAATCAGTGCGTGTTTACAAAAATTAAACCATTGTTTTGGAAAAAGATTATTTTTGCTTGGATGTGGGTCATAAAAACAGGAAGTGAATTGAGTCCATACTAGTTTGTTTCCATTCTTATTGATTTTGCAAGAAATAAAAGAGGGTCAGTTTGTGCTAAATCTTGCTCATCAAATGCATTGATTAACTGATCAGAAGCAAAAGTTTGGGCTGTTTGCTGCTCTGAAACTTTCAGGCAGTTAAACTGAACCAGCATGTTAGGATGTGTTTCAGGAGGAAACCTCTTCTCTTTAAAAAGAACATGACTGCTGGACTTAAGCAGTTATTATTATTATTTTTATTAACCTTTATTTAACCAGGCAAATCCCACTGAGATCACAGATCTCTTTTGCAAGGGAGGCCTGGACCTGAAGGCAGCTTAACATGTGTGTTTTTGGTCCGAGTTTCATCTGAACAAACCACAGAACAGACCAAAACTGACAAGTCTGGTCAAAAAGCAGCAGCTGTTTGTAGAAAACAAAATATCAGCTAAAACCTCACGCCAGCTGTCAGCACGGTGGGGGACGACTGATGGTTTGGGCAGCTTGAACTCCTCTGTCGATAAGAGGATTCTCGAGTCAAATGTGAGTCCATCTGTCTGACAGCTGAATCCAAATCAAGCGGGTCACTAATAAAGTCACACAAAAGACAATAACTGAGGTTTAATGCTGCTAACCAAGGTTCTAACGATGCTGGATCAGGAGGTAGAATCAGTTTTCCACTCAGTTTCTGTGTTTTGGTTTAGATTTAATAAAAAAAAAAAAAAATGGATGTGTTTTGGGTTGTTGTTCATCAGAAGCTGAATTTTTATCATTTTAAAATCTGCTGAGGACCAGATTATTGTTAAAGTGTTCTGGTGCACAAAACCTTAACACTCAAAAGGAATATAGTTTTATTTTAGCATGGCTGCATTTGCCACAGCTAAAAACTGGAAACATACTTACTTTATACCCAAATGATCCCATTGTGTAAGGTGTAAACCGTGGTTTGCTTATTGTCCTCTTAGTCAAGTCCCCTTGAAGCTGAGCATCATTTACTTCTTTAATATTGTGTTTATATGACACGTCACAGCCAACGCAGAGCCATCCATCCAACCGACGTCCCATTACAGATATTTACATACAAACTCACTCTGAGCTGTCTGAAAATGCATCATCTCACCTCTTCCTGCTCTCTCCTCTTCCAGCTCAGCTGAGCGTTGGCTGCCGCCATCGCCTCAATCACAAAAGTGGTGGTCATGTAGCTGACGGAGGACAAGAAACAGCTTAAATAACTGAAATGACTATACAGGCGTCGAAACATCACTTATTGAGAATTCTGTTCCTGAGCAACTAAAGTTAAACTAGAAAATGTGTGAAAACTACTTAACTATTATTTCCACAATTAATATTAATAATACACTTTTCATTAACAGCTTGGTGTGGAGACTTTGTCTAAAATAAGCAGCAAATGTTGACAAATACATTCAATTATTATTTCTAATTCAATAAGAATATTAACTGGCTAAATGGTTTTTTTTTTTTACACTTTCATGAGCAGATCTGCTGTGCTCCCTGAAAAAAAAAAAAAAAACTGAAAAAGTGTCATCTTAACACTTTTAAAATTATATTATAAAAGACTGAATTTTTATTTCAGGACGGTTGGTATTTCTGAATAAGATCACCGACCGTCTTTGCTCGTCTTTATTCACTGAGCCCTCACTCACCGTTTGCATAAACATGTAAAACTTAATGAATTATTCAGCTGTTATAGCTTTTCACGAAATCGTTCGTCTTTATTTTCCTACTCTGTGATTCCCATTTTCATTTTGGGCGGCAAAATTATTCCACAAACTACTTGCCAGGTGACCAGAGAGAAGAAACACGATTGACCTTGCACACGCTACGCCAATAAAGTCTGAATAATGTTCTGCAGGGAACTGAGACGCAATAAAAACTGTTAAAGAAGGGAATATAAACCTAACAAACACATCGGAACAGACTGAAGACGGATGATAGAAATTGGACTTTTACTCCCACAGTGAAGGTGAGGAAGAATAAAACTCACCTCATAAATGCTAAAATGCAGATGAGAGCCGAGCTGACCACCCAGCCGGCTGTGGCGAAGGCTCTGGGCATGGTCAGAGCACCTGTTCCCACGATCAGGTTGAACATGTACACCATCCCCACCTAGAGGAGAAAAGATGACTGTAAAGCTCTAAGACAACGCTGCTGCGATACACGCCTGTATTCTTACTGTGGATCTCAAGTGTTCACCAGAACTCCCACTTTAAAGATGCAACAAACAAGACCTACATCGACGTCCCCGCATCATTGCGTAGTGAATGTTTGTAGTTTGAGATGAGTGTTTTTCTGGGATGGCATCGAACAGGGAATGGAAGTAAACCTAAATGTTTTTGGTGCAAGATATTCAAGTGGGGAGGAGTTACACTGTAGAGAAGAACAGTTGTTTTTTCTTGTTTGAGGCGGCGCAGAGTGATGGATTCTGGATCCATTTTATCCACGACCAGGTGCAGTGGCTGAGCCAGGGGGTGGCCATTGGTGGCCTTTTTCACTATAGATTATTCTTTGCCCACCCGAATCCTTTGAAGAAACTTTAATTTTATTAGGGGTGCACCGATGAATTGGCCCCGATTCCCTTAATTTTGGGAAATCAGAAATGGGACGATACTTGCATGAGATTCTTTTAGTTTTAACAACAATTGTCTAAACTTCATTTATATTTCAGAGCACTACCTCATGGCCTGTTAAAACAAGTTTGTACTGTTTCTAGGATATTGTTCAAGGCTCTGTTTTTCAATAAAATAGTATTGGAAAATTTAAGGAGCAATGTGACCTTGTAACACCTGACAGTGTCGCTTATAAAACAAAATCGGTATCGGACTTTTTAGAAATCGGTGATCGGACAGAAAACTGCAATAGGTGCACCCCTATTTTTTTTTATAAAAACTAGAAAACATGGTTTCCTCAAATGTTCATCCATCACAATGCCTGTGCTTATCTCTTTCAAGGTGAAAGACGCAGCTGCTACATCCAGCTCACTGTAGGCCACAGTTTAGTTTTAGTCAAAACAAAAATGTTCTTCTACTTGTTTTAAGTGTACAAAACCGTCTAAGTGCTGGTAAATATATGCTTATGTAAGTTAAGCAAGACTTCATTAAATGAAAAATAAAATTTGACCAAAGGAAAAAAAAAAAGTTGGTGTGAGTCGGCCATCAGCTATTATGATTTCTGTAGCGTGGTGTCAGTTTTAGAAAATCTCATATTGGTAAACCTGCAGGCTTCTTTCAAAACAGGCGATGAAGCGCAGAAACATAGTGGCCCTAGAAGGCGATTATTAAATACCACTGTTCCAAACAGTCGGTCTGCCACTCGACCATGATGCCCAGCTCTGAGCAGCTTCGTGGTCTCAACAGATCTCATCTCTGCTCAAGAGCTGCAGCTTCATCGGGGCTGTCTCTGGCCCCCTGGATGTGCCTCTGATTATGACCAGGTCTGAGTTTTGGTAGACGACCTTTCTCTTGGCAAGATGACTGTGGCGTCGTAACCTTTCCATTTTCTAATAAGAATGGCGCTCAGTGGCATGTTTAGAGTTTAGTTATTTTTTGTCTTTTTTAACTCCAACACTGATCTTCTTTTAACTTAATTCAAAGTATTTTGCTTACCGCACTTTTCGCCGTAAAAGTCGCACCTTTTTGCATAAATTTGCATGCCCTGCGACTTGCACAGCAAAGCGACTTATTTATGTTTCCCCCCATATTTATAACCCAATTTTTGGCTGAGATCTGACGATTTCATTCATTCTGCCATGGAAAATACTGAACACTACCATTTTTAGCCACTAGAGGGCACTTGACTAATATGGCAAGTCAAGTGTCTCATTAATAAGTAAAAGTGGCTATTAATGAGACGCTTGGCTTGCCATACAAAGCCACCTTCGTCTTGCTCCGAAACTCCTGGAGCAAACGTCAAATCAGCTGAATTTCACTGCACCTCCCAGGCAAAATGCAGCTGATTTGACCATTAACGTGCACGTATTAAGGAAAAGTTCAACCTTTGCTATAATGTCGAGCAAACAAATAATTGTTTTTAAGTGTTAATCTTGTTAAATTTTTGTTAGTCCTCCCGTGCACGTTCCCACGGCCGCCATTTGGTAGCCAATCAATTTTTGGCACAACACCGGCCCACATTTCCAGGTTGTCAGCGATGATGCATAACAAACGCGGCGTGTCAGCGGGGCGCATAACAGATGCGACTTATACAGCGAAGCGACTTATTTAGGGTTTTTTCCACTTTATTAGACATTTTTGGGCTGATGCGGCGTCTACAGCGGAAAATACGTGTATTACTTATAGTGAAATTAAAAGGCAACAAAATAAAAAGAATATCAAGTAAAGGGAATACTTTTGCACCAAATCTGTTATTTACTCAACTAGAAAAGATCAGTTTCTCCTCAGCATATTGATGGATGAAGCTCGTACTAGCAGGCGAAAGACTTAACTACAGTCAAAGAAGAAAACTTCACTATCAGATAGCAGACTGCTAAATAATTCAGAGCTTTCACTTCCTGAAAAAAGACAGCGTCTGAGCAGCAGAACCAAGTCTCAGCAGCAAAGTCATGCTGAAGTAAGCAAAGTCCGGGTGAGTCCGAACCGCAAAGGGACCTGATGTGTGCAGATAATAAAAACGGGACGTGTTCACCTTCCTCTTAATTGCTTTTGTTTTTACTGCAATGTCATCTCCACCAGAGTTTACTGCTTCGGTAACTAATTAATAAAAAATAACGAGCATTTATCTTAGCAGGCGTCAAGACGGTTGACCTTCAAACAAAAGAGAACAAAAACTGAATTCTGCAAGTCCCGACAGGCGGACAAAGAATCTGACGTCGGCTGACATTTTGATGAAACCTCACCGAATGCAAAAGGATTACACAAGTTCCTGATTTTTAATAATCTAAAAAAAAATTCAGTTTTCTGTTGGTTTTTTTTACTCACAAATGGGGAGTAAGGTTCTCCGGTGTCAGTGATCCCTCCTGCCATGTTTAGTGTCGAAGATCTTCACCTGTTGGAAGAAGAAGACAAAAAAAGTATTCTTATTTTCAACTTCACAACACAACTAACAAAATCTATTCTCAAAAATACATACTTTCTCTGCTATTAATGTTTAGTTTGGTATTGAAAACACCAGTCTTTCCACTTGGTGATAAAAATCCATTGATGAGTTTTTGATGCAAGACAAATTTATTTAAACAACCTAATATTCGAGTCTAAAAGCAGCCGGACTCCTTGTAATAAAAACGACAGATAAAAGCAAAAATGTGGTACAAGAACACGTTTTGAAATGTCTTTTTTATGTAGCTCCAATATCCGTTTAAGTTGCTTTTAATTTTGTTCAGAACATCTTCATAAATCAGATTAGAAGAGATTAATTAGATGTCATTTATAGTTTTGTGCTCATAATTCAGCACACAATCTTAACCTAAGTCATCATCAGTGTGCGCTCAATGAAGAAATTATAAATATATTATCGTTTTAATATTTACTGTTTGAGAAGCACTTTAAATTTCTTTCTAAAACCCAATAAAAGAACTTGAACTGCATGCTAGTCTTTGTTATTATAAACATTAATATAAAGTTAACATTCATTCAACCTTTATTTAGACAGGTTAATCCCATTGAGCCTCGAGGACTCATTTACAAGAGAGACCTGAATGAAACAATTCATGAAACATGAATAATATAAACAAAGTGTTTATATTTGTCTCTATTAGTTCCTTTAACATTTTATTTGGTTCAATAGCAGTTTGAATGCTTTGTTTTTAAGATATTTTACAAGTTGTATTTATTACTACACAACCTGACTGTCAGAAAGTTTCAGCCTTATCTTCAAAACTTTTCTAATTTTGTAAGTTTAGTCAGTAAGGGGGGGGGGGGGGGGGGTCTTGATTATATATATTTTTAGATGAAGTACAAGTATTTCACTTTGGGTTTTTGTTGGCACTGAGTACTGATACCGAGTAGTTAATGAGTTAGTACTTAAACATTACACAATTTAAAAAACACATTGTATTAAGAACACAGCAAACAGTTATTTTAACATTATTTGTGCTTTTCTTAAAATGTTTCTAAATTATGGGCATTTTTAAATTTTTGTTCTTGGTTACTTAAAAAAAATGGAAGAGGAAATGACATCATGCATAAAAAAGTGTTATCAGTTTGAAGTATCGGGGTGTTTCTCTGAGTATGAGAGCTTGTAGCTGGTATTGGGACACCACAAGTAGTCAGAGCGTGTTTTTTTTAAGCTAAAGTAAAACCTGGAGAAATCCATCCCTGCATCATTTCTTTCCTCTACGACTCCAGGCTTCTTCTTTCAGCTTTTCCCTCTTCAGGGGTCACCACAGCGAGTCCTCCTCCTGTCTTCACTCCAACTCCCTCCATGTCCTCTCTAACTGCATCCATATTATTTCCTCTTTGTCTTTTTCCTGGCAGCTGCATTTCTAACATCCTTCTACCAATATACCCACTGTCCCTCCTCTGGACATGTCCAAACCACTGTCCCTCCTCTGGACATGTCCAAACCATCTCAGTGTGGCCTCTCTAACTTTATCTCCCAGTTGTTCAACCTGTGCTGTATCTCTGATGAGCTCATTTCTAATCTTATCCATCCTTGTCACTCCTAAGGAGAACCTCAACATCTTCATTTCTGCCACTTCCAGTTCTGTCTCCTGTGTTTTTGTCCATGTCTCTGTCTCCAGACCATGCAACATAGCTGGTCTCACCACTCACCGTCTTGTAAACTTTTCCTTTGACCTTTGCAGCCACCCAACTTTTCTCCATCCACTCCATCCTCCCAGACTAACATTAATGGAAACTTATTTAATGTAACCGGGCACAAGTACTCTAAACTGTTTACAATTCAGCGTAAACTTAATAATAAAAATCTCATGTAACACCTACCGGTCTGACTTTAATTCAATTTCAATTCAGTTTATTTATATAGCGCCAAATCACAACAAAGTTGTCTCAGGGCACTTTACAGGAACATTCACATACATAAAAGCCAATTAGTAAAGTTCTCCATCTAAAGAGTGGTTCCACTGGATCAGGAGCTTTTAGATCCAGATTTGAATCTTAGCAGCTCAAATATTCAATAACAGCATTGAAATCAAATCAAACTGATGTTTTTCTTGCCTTTTCATATAAAATAAAACGCTTTTTTTCAAAGGCTTTTTCAGATTATGCTTGTTTTATTTATTGGTGCAGATCTGTTGCTTCTCAGTGATCAACATGTCTTAGTTGCTCCTTAAAAAACTGATTTTTTATTTTTATTTTACATGTCTAATTATAACCCCTCCATTATAATTACTTTTGTAAATTGGTGCCAAAGAATATTAAAGACTTGGTGTGAGCAACAACTCACTCATTTAGTTGTGAACCTCCACACTATGTCTGTGCTCCACACTTAAACCAGGGATTGTTTACACACCTGAAATGTCTCTGCTGAGCACACCTGAGCACACCTGAGCACCCCAACAGGTTTTACTGTAACATTTTCTGATTCAATATTCAGCTAAAAAGGGCAAACACAAGCCAGTATCACAGATTCATGAGGAGTACAACTCACCTTTCTGCCCAGTCTTCTGGGGTTAGCCGCTATGCTAACAGGATTCTGCAGCTAGTTGGACCCGTCCGAGCCAAACAAACGGAACCGTTAGCATTAAGTTAGCACGGGATGCTACGGTGGAAAGAAAGAATAAAAAATAAATAAATGCACATTCTCATGGGCTGCCAAAGCAAAAGCTTTGACACAGAGCCCATCAAACTGAAGTGATCAGCTGATTAGGTTCCGCGTGACGGTCCATACAACTCCAACTTCCGGTATCAGCCTTCAGAATAAAAGCATACTGTAGTTTTCGATTCTGAAACTTATTTATTGTTAATTTTTGGGCGAGATTTTAAAGATTAAAAACTATAAACAGACCGCTTTTAATTTTTTTATTTTTTTTTATTTTTTTTTTATTAAATGGCAGCAAGTTTCAAAGATCTGATACAAAAATAACCCTAAACTTACTGAATTCAATATGAGATTTTCACCATGTTTTATGAAATTTCTAACAGTTTGCTAAAGCAAATAACAAAAGTTCTTAATAAAGAAAAAAGATAGATGTATATTGATTGCTGGACAATGAAAGATGTTAAAGAATTAAGGCTTTACTGTAACTGAAAACATGACGAACTCTATGACTAAACAAGATAATACTAAAACTGAGGCTTTTATTTGTGATTCTTATTTTTTGTTTTGGGATCTTTTATATTTTTTTTTACAATTTTGCTTTGTAAATTTACATAACATAATAAAAGAACTGTTATTTTCTTTGACGGTGTCTGTATGTTAAATCAGTAGTCAAGACAGGCTCTTCAACTTAGGGGTCAGGGGTCACTTGGACAAAATATCTTTGATTTCACTTCAAGTCTAAATATTCTGTTGTTTAAAATAACAACAGTTGCATACAACTCTTGATACATGTGCTCAAGTTGATAAGATGACTACTTGAGATATGAAGAATAAACATAAACAGTATTATGGCAGAGGTTGTAGTTTAAGAATGAGTTCCTGATTAAACAATAGGAAGATAAGGTGGCAACTGGAGCTACTATTTCTTATGAATTACTCACATCTTGAGTGGTTCCAGTCACATGAGTTCCTCTGACACACCAGAAAATCCTGTTCAGACCAACATTTTACCTCTGTGTTAATCAAGAAATTGTGATTGCAGAGATCAAAATGCAAAACCAGCTGTGGAAAGATGTCGAGGCCGCATGAACGTCTGTGTTATCAGAGTTCAGAGGTCAGATGAACAGATTGATGTACCCAGCGAGGAACAGTCTGACTTTTAACATCAGAACCACCAACACTCAACATGTTCAGAGCCCTTTTAAAAACTCAGTTATAATCTATCGTTTTTTGGTAATCATATTTATATTATATTTAATTGTGTTATTTGCAGTTGTATTTGTGTACAGTTAATTATTATTAGTACCAGTAGTACTATTTGAATTGTTCTTTTATATGTACAGCATATTGGTAAACATAATGTATTCATTCACTTTTCATATCAGCATTTTGGGCCACAAAGGAAACTGTAAAAAAAACAACAACAAAAAAAACAGTTAAACTACTTAAAATATAAAACAAAATCAATCATATATTAGTTTTAATTCAGTCAAGCTATTAAAAAAGCCTACTAGCTATTTACTAAAGTTGATATATTTTGATAAATATGAATCTTATATAGATATAGATAGATATTTAACAGATAATTATTTAACAGTCAACGGTGTACCACAAGGCTTTGTCTTGGGACCCACCCTGTTTACAATCTACATAGGTAATGTAGGTCATAGCATCCCTGATGCATCCCTACAGTTCTATGCTGATGACACAGTTGTATCTTGTCGAGCTTTTCCAGCTTTTGCAATCTGCTTTCGACATCATGCAGTAAGATTTGTACCATCTCAAACTTGTCCTAAATGCCGACAAAACCAAAAGGATGCTTTTTTCAAACAGGATGTCGGTCCCAGCAGTTCTTCCTTTGATTTTATCCTTGAAAGGTGTCCCAATTGAGTTTGTCGATTCCTATAAATATATGGGCATCTTGGTCGACTCGCATCTCTCTTTTAAGCTCCACGTGGAAAACCTAGCAAGGAAACTGAAAGTTAAATTGGGATTCTTTTTTAGAAACAGATCCTGTCTAACTCTGAACGCTAGAAAATGCCTCGTAATTGCAACTTTCCTTCCCTCCATTGACTATGGTTACTTGAACGCTCCTACAAGAACCCTGCAGATGTTGGATGATGTCTATCATAGTGCGCCAAGATTCATAACTGGTTGTAACTACCATACTCATCACTGCACCCTGTATTCACTGGTTAACTGGTCATCATTAGCTTCACGCAGACTCTCTCACTGGTACATTTTCATCTTTAAATCACTTCTTGGTCTGCTGCCTTCATACATCTCCTCCTACATGTCTCTGCGTGAGTGCAGCTACAGCGTGCGCTCTCCGGACATTATTACATGCAGTGTTCCCTCAGTGCGAACTGAACAAGGCAAAAAGGCCTTCTCCTACTTCGCTCCTGTTTCCTGGAATATCTTGCAAAAACAACTGAAGCTCTCAACCTTGACCTCTCTAAGTGGCTTCAAACATCTGCTATGTTCTTGACAAAAACCAACACAGACATGTTCCTGTTTTTAGTTTTCTACATTGCCTTATAATCTAGCTGTTTTATTGTTACATTTTCTTTTAAATACCATTTTATTTTCACTTGTTAAAAAAAAAAAAATTATACGCATCCTTTATGGTTGTCTATTATTGTCGTTGTTGTCTACTGTCGTCATCACTCTTTGTTAAAATCAGGTCTCTCTTGTAAATGAGTCCCCAAGGCTCAATGGGATTTACCTGTATAAATAAAGGTTGAATTTATTATAAAGACTAAGTTTATTCTCTCAAGGAGGCCCATGCAATTTGGGATTTTATTCTGATTTTGAGTCAAATCCATTTGTTTGCTGATGAATTGAATACTTTACGTAGAGTGTTGAGGTAGAGGTTGAAAAACTCAACCTTTAATTAAAAAAACATCACGACATTCTGACCCAGTTAAGTTTGCTTTGCATACAGACATTAAAAAAATGTATTTGATTATTGATGGTTGTAGTTTGATTTAAAGCTCGGGTGTGTTTTTGTGCATGCAGCTGGAAATATTTTAATAAAAACACAAAGGTCAGAGAGACTAAAACTCAGCGGTGATGTTTTCAGCAGTAACTCAGAAAGCAGAGTTCTTCCTATTGTTCCTCAGATGCACCTTCTTCTGATGCAGCTCCTCCTTGATGATTCAAATTAATTAAAACAGCCACAATCTGTGTTTCTGTTGACCGCAGGTTATTTAAGCCCAGTGCATACACTGAAAACCTTCCACTGCAGCTGCACGCGAATAATAGAAACGTTCAGCTGGTCTGTTTCATTTAACTCACAGAACCTGGGAACAAAGACTCTTCACCACAGTTTGACAAAATGATTAAACACATCAATTCTTTATTATTTGCACTTTTCTATTGCAGCATTTATACGAGCAGCTCTGCAGCTTATAAAGGTTTCATCAAACTCAACAAGGCGAACAGCCATGGCCGCTCTGATGACTCTAACTTTTCTTGCTGTGATCAGTGAGTTATCGCTCCAAATTAAACTTAGATTAATGAGATTTGTTGTCAAGGAGGATTCTTTTAGAGTTTGTCATGTCTCAGCAGGTGTTTCCACCAGTCAGACTTCAGACTGCTCATACAACAGTCTCCTGGATCACCTGAACCTGACTTCATCAAACACCCTTCTTGAAATCATGCGTCCTGTGAAGAACTGGACCAGAACCACCATCGTCCAGATGGACATGCTGGTTTACAGCATTTTAGGCGTGGTAAGTGTCCTCCTCACCTTCTCAGCTGGTGTTGAGTTCAACTAGTAAACAAACTGTACATTTCTAGTAATTTGTTGCATCATCAAATAATAACTTTAGCATTGCAGTGATAGAAATTAATATTTATTATCTGAGTTTACAGTTTAATATGACAATAAAAATAACTTTTTGAACAGACCACTTGTTCGGTTTAAATGCAAAGCACAGTTGATTAAATTCACTTGTTTCAATTTACTGAATATAAAAACCAAAATAAATTGTAGTGGTGTTTGTTTTCTCGTAATATGCTTTATGTCAATAAACAAATCATAAACAGTAATTTTGCCATCATTGTAAAGTATGCTGTGTAGTTAGCTCATTGTCTTAAAGAAATCATGGATGGATGGATGGATGGATGGATGGATGGATGGATGGATGGATAGATGGATGGATGGATGGATAGATGGATGGATGGATGGATGGATGGATGGATGGATGGATGGATGGATGCATGGATGGATGCATGGATGGATGCATGGATGGATGGATGGATGCCTCCCTAGATACATCCATACATACATACATACATGCATACATGCATACATGTATGCATGTATGTATGTAGGGAGGCATGCATCCATTCATCCATACATACATACATCCATACATACATGCATACATGTATGTATGTATGTATGGATGTATGTAGGGAGGGAGGCATCCATGCATCCATTCATCCATGCATACATACATCCATACATACATGCATACATGTATGTATGTATGTAGGGAGGGAGGCACCCATGCATCCATTCATCCATGCATCCATGCATCCATCCATCCATACATACATACATACATACATACATACATACATACATACATACAT